CCCAATCCTTTTTCTTCTTCATCTTTGCTAATAAACCCAGATTTTGTCCAGGATGGCAAGTGTCCAGTCTCAAGTGATGTATGAATCCTGACCCCATTCCCTCTCAGACTTCTAGTATGATTTCCTATAGGAAATTTCCCACTCAGTACAATTCCTATACCTTTCATAATAAATTCTTCCCAAATATTTTATAGTCCTGTTATTGTTAATTGAATATTTTTCTCATTTTTATTGATTTCTAGGGGGCTATTTGTAGTAAATTAAAAAAAGAATTTAAGTAGGCTCCACACCCAGTGTGGAACCCAACGTGGGACTTGAACTCATGACCCTGAAATCAAGACCTGAGCTGAGATCAAGTCAGATGCTTAACTGATTGAGTCCCCCAGGCACCCCTGTAGTAAATTTTTATTTTTATTTTTTTTAATTAATTTATTTATTTGAGACAGAGAAAGCACAAGTGGGAGGGGCAGAGGGAGAGGGAGAGAGAATCCCAAGCAGACTCCATATGGAGCACAGAGCCCGATGTGGGGCTCGATCTCATGACCCTAAGATCACAACCTGAGCTGAGATCGAGCCGGACGCTTAACCAACTGCCAGGCACCCCTATAGTGAATTTTTAATATATTTTCTTGTATTTATCACTTAACATTTTCTCTTATTAATTGTAGTTTTCAAGAAAGTCCTTTGGATTTTCTAGATTTCCATTCATTACATTAAAAAGATAATGCAATCTTGGTCTTTTCAGTATTTATAACATTTTATTTTCTTGTCTTATTACATTTGCTAGAACTCTAAAGCATTGTGTAATGATACTTGTGTTAATATCAATCCTGTCTAGCTCCTGATTGAAACAAAAAGTGGTTTTAATATCTGGTGTATGTTGGTCTATGATTATTTTACATTTTTTATTTTTTTCATGAACTGTGCCTTTTGTTAGATAATGACCCTCTTTATTTTTCTCAATGCCTATCACCTTAAATCCTACCTTCTCTGGTGTCATGTAGCTACTCCTGCTGTCTTCTAGTTTGTGCTGGCCTGATCTTTCTCTCTGCCAACTCCTTATTTTCAGTCTTTTTTTCCTTTTCTTGTGGTTTCATGTATCTTTGTTATAAACAGTATGTATCTTTTTTTTTATCTTTCTAACCCAGTCTCTAGGTTTTTAATGGGGGATCAGGGTATCCTTATTTAGTATGACAAAAATGTTTGCCATTCCATAATTCTTTTATGTTTATTATTTTTTACTTTGTGATTTTATCTTTTTATCCAATTGAACTATATGAAACTACCAACTACCTACTTTCCCCTTTTCTCTCTCTAAGATGTCATTCATTTCATTTTTTCCCTTGGTAATTTGGAAATTCTACATACTTTTTTCCATTCCATTAATGGCTACCTCCCCCCTCCAGGCATGAGGATTGACCCTTTACTGTGTATAGGTAGCAGATAATTTACCTATGTTATGGGGGAGAGTTTAAGGCCATTGGCCCTTCCTCCTTGGCAGGTAACTTGTTCTATCTGTGAGTTTGTACAATGTTCTCTTTCTCCTTGGAGTTTAAGAATTTACTATCATCTTTCCATTCCATACTGCCTGGGAATGAGGTCAGTACATCCCATCTGCAGACACAGGTTTTTCTTCATGTCAGAAAAGTTTTCTTCTGTAATTCATTTGCTTCATGCCTCTATTTCATCCATCCCCATTTCTCCCTCTGGAACTTCTGGTTGCACATCAGGATTCCTGGATTTGGTCTCCAGATCTCTGGTCTTTCCTTCATGTCTTTGAGCTTTCCATTGAGCTCTGAGCTATTTCTTCCATTAGACCCAAGCACCTTCTTCATATTCCTCCAACATGTCAAACTTGCTCTGTCCTTGGGGTCTTTGCACTTGCTATGCTTTCTTTCAGGAATGGCTTCTCTTAGATCTTTCCCTGCTCAGCCATGCCTCTAGGTTCATCTTAGCTCAGATGCCCCCTTCTCAGATAAACCTTTCCTGCTGCCTTGGATGTAAACAACATACTCTGCACATCATCCTGGTTCCTTTTTCTCCATTATTCACACTGCCCATAATTAAGGTTTTTTTAAAAAAGATTTTTATTTAGGGTGCCTGGGTGGCTCGGGGGTTAAGCGACTGCCTTCGGCTCAGATCCCAGAGTCCCCATCGGGCTCCCTGCTCGGCAGGGTGTCTACTTCTCCCTCTGACCCTCTCCCCTCTCATGCTCTCTCTCTTTCTCTCTCAAATAAATAAATAAAATCTTAAAAAAAAATTTTTTATTTATTTGAGAGAGAGAGAAAGAGAGAGCACTAGTGGGGGGGTGGGGCAGAGGGAGAGGGAGAAGCAGACTCCTTGCTGAGCAGGGAGCTCTAAGCAGGGCCCAATCCCAGGAGCTTGAGATCATGACCTGAGCCGAAGGCAGACATTTAACTGTCTAAGCCACCCAGGTGCCCCTTAAGTTGTTTATTTTACTGTTATATTCATCCTTTACTTCCCCACACTCCTCACTGTGGGGCAAGGACTCTATAAATCATTCAAATTCTTGCTGTGTCCATTCTTGCTATGTACCCAGTGTCTAGCACAGGTCAGTACTTATGGAAGAAATATAAGAGTGAATTAATGTCTTCCCCAGGGAGACCCTGCCCTCTCCAGTCTCAACCCCACACATAGGAGTATTGGAATGGGAGAGTGGGTGGGCAGAGGAAGGCAGGGCAGTACTTACCTATGAGGGTTTGAATGACTGGTGCCTGTTGGGTTCTTTTTATTCTGTGGCTACAGACAGGGAACAGGAGCAGAAGCTGGGTTGGGCTTCCTAGCAATCCTGCTGGGTGTGGGGGCCTTTGGGCCTGACCCAGGGCTAACCTTGATCCGGGATACTCTCATTCTGCCCCAATCTTCCACTGTCCCATTTTAATTTTTTTCCATAGCCCTTATCACTTAATACCATATGGAATCCTTCTTATTCAGTCAGCCAGCAGGTATTTCTGGAGTTTATTGGTATTTGAGGTGCTCAGGATCTATCCATGACTAAAATAGAGAGATTCTCACCTCACAGGGCTCTTACTCTAGTGGAGGAAGCCAGGCAATGCCATATAAGGATAATAAATGCCTCCATAAGAAAGGTAACTGCTATGAAAGAAAGTAGAGCAGGGTAAAGGGATAAAGGTGATCCCATGTGCTGGCTGAAAGGTTCAGGTTGCAGTCTGAAATGAGGGGCTTTGAGGGCATTAGGGTACAGTCCTTTGGAAATCCGTGGAAAGTGCATTGCAGGTATGGGAACAACTGGAGCCCAACCCCTGAGCCGGGAGAGTGCACAGGGTGTGATGTGTGAGAAACTTCAGGCTGCTGAGCAGTGGGGCTGGAGATAAACAGAGGACATGTAGTCAGAGAGGCAATGGGGAATCATAGGGTCCCTGCCAACTCTGGCTTTTCCTTGTGGAGGGGCTACTGCAGGAATCTGAGCAGGGCATGAAGGATTCTGATTTAGGTATTCACAGGCTGATGTGTGGAGAATGGACTGAAGGTGGCAAGGGCTGCTACAGGAGACTGGGAGGGAGGTGGCTGTGACATTGCCCTGGGGAGAGAAGGTGGTGGCTTGGACTGGGTAGAAGCCATGCACCTGGCAAAAGGTGCTCTCATTCTGGGTAGACGATGCAATGGAAGGAACAGAACTTCTTGAATGTAAGTGGGAAAGCAGTCAAGAGGTGTTTGGACTGAGCAATAGGAAGGACTAAGCAGCCATCCTTTTGAGCTGGTGGAGGTGAGGTAGAGTGCATTTGGGGGCTGAGCCAGAGCGAGGGTGGCACAAGTTGAGTTTGAGATGCCAAGTGGAAGTCAGTGCAGATGCCTAGTTTACAGCTGGGCATTGAGTCTGGCACTCAGTAAGTTGTCTGGACTGGACATACACCTCTGGGAGTGATGGACGTGTAGGTGGAATTTGAAGCCACAAACCTGGATAAGGTTAGGAGAGAGAGAATGTAGACAGAGAGAGGAGGCAAAGAGGAAGAACCAGTGAGGCGAGAAGCATGAGGGTGTAGAGGCCTGAAACACACAGGGAAGGTGCTTCCAGGAGAGGAGAGATCAGCTGGTCACAGGAAGTCTTTCCTGCCCACTCTCATAAAGGCAGCACCCCCTCCCCCCTCTTTTTAACTGTTTCTGTTCACTGCTATATCTCCAGCACAGAGTGTGGGTGCTCAATAAATACCTGTTGAATAGGTAAGCATATGCATGAATCCACACCTCTGCAAACCCCCAGTGCACATGCAGCACGGGGCTGCCATTCTGGCCTCCTTTACAGAAAGCAGAGATCAGGTAGGAGGCTCTGTCCACTCTCAGTGGCACCTCCCTCTTCCCTCGAATTTCTCACTGACATCCACTCAGGTGGGAGCTCTCCTGGCCAACGCATAGGACCCAGGACAAATGAGCCTCAGACAAGCACTGCAGTGTGGAGGTTGGTAGGACCTAGATTGGACACAGGTTCATCCACCAGTCCCCAGAAGACTGTCGACACCTCTACATCTAGTCATCTATCCACCTGTGCATATAACCACTCCTTTACTCACCGTCTACAGTCACTCTCTTGTCCATCTTTCCATCCATCCCCATCTAGTCCTCTGTCCATCCATCTGCTAGGGTGACGAAATTCCCAGTTTGCTGCAGACTGCCTCAATGTTAGCCTTGAAAAGTCCACATCCCGGGAAACCCCTCGGACTCTGGAAAAATGGGACAGTTGGTTGAGCCAGCCGTTCACCCAGGGATCCCTCATTGCACCCCAAAGCCCAAAGCCAATCTGTCCACCCAACCACCCACCTGACCTCCCTGGCCATCCTCCCCCTGGAAGGCAGGCAAGGCCCCGCCCCATCCCTGGCCCCGCTCCGTGCCCCGCCCCTCCCGGAAGCCGCTGCCAGGGATCCCGGCGCCCTAGCAACAGCGCTTTTCGGGCGGCCCAGTCCACGAGCCTGGCTCCCTGTGCGAGCCAATAGCGAGGAGCTCCGGGAGCGAGGCGCGGGGGGCGGGGCTCGGCGCGGCCGCCGCCATCTTGATGGGAGAGAAACAATAGGACGGAAGCACCGCGGGACGGGCTGAGGCCGCAGGTAACGCCCGCCTTGTCCAGCCTATGGTTCTGCCGCCCCGGTAGATTTGGAGGAGGGTGTCTCCAGGCCTTTCGGGGGTGAGGTCTCTGGTCATTAGGGTTGTCCCCGGGTTACTTGGGGAGGGGCTCCCCTGCGATCCTGGGGGCGGGGAGATCTCCCCGGGTCTTCATGGGGCCGGATATCCCCCGGTCATTTGAGAGAGGCATTATTTCTTCAGGTTACTGGGGGGAGAATATCTCCCCTGATTTTGAGGGGCAGAATCTTCTCTGGTCATCGAGGGGGTCTCCCGGGTATCTTGGCGGTGCAGGATCTCCCTCCGGTCATTGAGAAGGTTTCTCCAGGTCTTTGTGGGGGAAAGATTTCCTGGGTCATTGCTTCCCAAGACAGCGGAGTCCATGGGCTCCTGGGTTATTGGGGGGGGGTTCTCCTTGAGTCTTTGGGTGGAGGAGCCAGCCCACCGCCTCAGGTGCTGTTTACCTGGGGCCGGCAGATGTGCAGCCATTTTGAGCGTTGAATGCCAGTTGGGCCTGTCAGCTGGTGTCTGGTGAGGCAATCTGCACATCTTATTATTCAAAAAAGTCCTAAAATGGATCAGAGGACGGCTTCTTTAATAGTGGTAAGCTTCACCGTGGGTGGAGCTTTCATTTCTTTCCTATTTGCCTCCCATCCTAATGATTTGTGTTAATCGGTTTCCTATGTTCCTATGTTAAGGAAGCTGCACTAGCAGAAAAATGAGTCCAAACGTTGTGAAAACAAAATGTAGAAAACAGTAAAACCTAGTGCTCTTAGATACAGGACTAGTTACTGCTTGGAATGAAACATTTTGGTAGTAAAATTTACGTGAAACAAGAATAAAATAAAGTCTTAGGAAATAATAGTTTTAAGAAAAAATACTGAAACTTTTGAAAAGCGTTAAGAAAAATGTTCCAGTTCACCAGTTCTGTGATTTTTTTTTTATAAAGCGCCATGATTACAGTAATTTGATGAACTCTAGTATTTAAAATATTTGCAGTATTTGCATTTTTAGCAGGGTTACATTTTAAGTGAACTCAGATGCTTATTTACATCGGTTGCTGCTGTGGAGTTTGCGTAATTGCATCCTGTAACCTGGTGTTAAGTATTTAAAGAGAAGTTTCAGGGTGGTGGTGGTATTGTTTTAATTTTAGCCGCTTTCAGAATTAGAAGCCAGCAAAATGAATACTTTATCATATTTCATATAAAAAGCCAGTTAAGAGGCGCCTGGGTGGCTCAGTCTGTTAAGCATCTGCTTTCGGCTCAGGTCATGATCCGTGGAGTTCCTGGAACGAGCCCTGCATCATCTCATCCATTGGGCTCCCCACTCAGTGGGGAGTCTGCTTCTCCCTCTCCCTCTGCCCCTCCCCACTTGGGTTCTCTCTTTCTCACTCACTCTTTCTCTCAAATAAATAATCGTAAAAAAAAATAGGTAAAAAATAAAAAGCCAGTTGATCTCTTAATAACTTTTTCTTTGGAGAAAAAGTCAGTTGAACTGTTAACTGTTATTCCAACTGATTTATTTGCTTTGTAACTTTAGAGTAGAATTCACAGGAATTGTTAGAAATCAAGTGCACGAGAACCAGCACCAGAGTTGATATAATTGTAAAAACCACTTTAGCAGATGTAATAGAATTCTTTTGTGCTTTGGAGCTTCACAAGTGACAGAGCAGTACACTGTATATCATCCCTGTGTGTGTCCGAGCAGTGGAATGTGGAAGGAAGGAAGGAGCAACTGCTGATTGAACCTTAGCTCATCTCCCTTGCAGAGGGGTGCCAGAGCCTTCTGTAAGCACTGGAGATGTCACTGGTATCTAGGCAACAGGGTTGAGCCTGAGCCCCAGAGGCCAGCTTGCTGAGGTGAAAATTTTCCATTGTTTGGTTCATAAAGAGGATGCTCTGGGGAAGAATTTTCCCTTTAAGTGAAGTTATTTTACCTAGTGAGATAATCGCCCTAACAAATTGAACACATCTTTATACAGTGGAAGGTAAGCAGATGATTTCTCTTGTGTGATTACATTTTAAAGCATGTTTTTGTTTTTTAAATAATTATATTTTTGTCTGTTTGAATACTGAGTAATAAAAGTAATAAGTAGTATGATATTTTGCAATATATTCTGGTAGCAAGAAAAGGTCCTTTTCCCCAAAAATTGAATTTACGCTTCACCTCAGAGCTTGAAGGAAAAGACAGTCTCCTAAGCTGATGAACAGTTGGTTTGGGTCTGTCATCCATCACCAGTTGGAGTTACCAACCCCTAGTTGATCTTGTTTCACTTCACTGCCTGTCTCCCCCCATCTTAAAAACAAACAAACAAAACCCGAATTTTTTAGGTGGCATAGCCCCAGGATGTATTTTTTTCCATAAGTATTTCATTGAGCTGCCCATTGTATCTACAATACCATTAGTCTGCCTAAAAACCAATGATAATACCTTTTTTTTCCCACCTAAATATCTGGTTATGGTCAAATGTCTCTGATTTTCCTATAATTTTTTTTACAGTTGATTTGTTTGTATCAGGATCCAAATAAGGTCTGCACATTGCATTTGATTGAGGTATCTCTTTTGTTTCTTAAATTTATATAGGCTCATTGTAATTGTTTTGTTGAAGCAGCTGTCATTTATCCTTTAGGATTTCCCATATGCTGGCTTTTCCTGATCACTTCCTTTGCTTGATACCTTTTGACTATGGTGGCTGGGTTTGAAGGGGTCACTGCTGTATATCTTTTCAATGAAGACGTTGTGAAGGCTTTGCCAAGGCTCACTCATAACTGAGCCCCAAACTATGAACTCTGAGGTCTGTCAGGGACCTAAAGGGCCACACAGTGCAAGACCCTCCTCTTCCCTCTGTATTGTGTAGTCCAAAAACTAAGAGCCCTAGATTTTCCATGTGAAACTGGGAGGAGAGTCCGTGACTTCCAGGAGGGTGTAGATGTTCTGCCTCTTTGTATCTTTACAGACCTCCTTCTCTCACACTGACCTTGTACCCTCTGCTCACAGGCAGTTCACACCTATGGGGGCCCTGACTCAGTGTTCTTCTTTCTTTGCACATTACTCTTAGAGTGTCTTCTGTCTTCCCTTTATAGGTAACCCCCAAATCTGTTTGCAGGTTAGGTTCACTCAAGCTTCAATCCCATTGCTCCCAACTATCTGCTGAATGTTTCTTGAGTGCTTGACCATCCCCTTATATTTAAGTGTCTGTAGCTCAACTCAGTGTCTTCTGAGCTGTTTCTGACTTCATGAACCAAACATCCTTGTTCTGACGTGGGAAGGCTCAATATCTGACTCATCCCTCTAATTTGGTTCCCTGTATTGGGTTCTGAAGATAGGGTCCACAGGTGCCCGCACCCCAGTCTGTAGAGTTCAGTGAGGGGTGCGTTTTTCAGCAGAGGCCCAGAGATGTCTCAGATTTTCCAGGGGGTCAGTTACTCCTTGAAGGGTTAAGAACAGTGTGGGACACCTAGGCACCTACCAAATCCTGTTTCTCTACTCTCCCCCCTTCCTTCCTTAATTCCCTGTGGGGGCTGGGCACCAGGCTCTCTGGGTACCTTGAAGAAGGCAGGAGAAATTTGTGCCCTGCCGAGTGTGCCACTGAGTGTGGGAGGTCATTCCAGGTGGGACAGGTGTCTGGAGAAGGCAGCCCTTGTGTCTTGGGGGCCCCAGAGCCTAAGAGCTGTCAGGACTCTTTCCCACCTCCCGCCCCAGGGATGAAGGAGGAGAGACCCTTGAGAGAAGGAAGCCCATTCTGGGAGAGGCTGGAGAGACCAGCTTGGTCTTGATCCTCATGGCCTCCTAGAGGTTGCGGCTCTGTTGGGGGCGCTCTTGCTATCATCTCCTTCCTCCTGCAAACTCCCAGGCTCGGGACTGCGGAGGCAGTGTTGCCTCCTTCTCTTTCACCTTTGGTTTTGACATCTTCAAATAACCAGATTCTAAATTCAGGAGCCCACAAAGTTACCTGAACCATGGCTGTGGTATAACATGTAACAGAGTAGCTTGAGAGCTTTCTAAGCACTCACAGTTTTTCTTAAGAAGCTTAAAATTTTTTCTTCTCTCAAACCTCCTTTTTCACATATGCTTCTAATGTGTATAAGAATTGTATCTCTTTGTTTGCTCCTTAAGTAAGAATGTAGACAGAAGACCCCAGTAAATGCTGGGTCCTGCTGCCACTGTCCTACCCATGGCGTTGCTGTAGAGCTTGCTGGGCGTCTGTGAAGCCAGGTTTTCCTTTTCCTCTCTGCCTGGTTAATTTTCCCTACGGAAAATGTCACCACCCTGCTCCACAATCCTTGGTGGCTCACAGGCGTTACAGGGAAGAGTGAAACAGTGGGTGCAACCTCTATGCTCTGTCTCCCTAGTTCTACTTCTAAGGAATTTTCCTTCAGAAATACTTCCACAAGAGTGCAAAGACGGCTACAAGGACACTCATTGCATTATTATTGTAATAAACTAGTGTCAGTAGGGAAGTTAAAAATACATTATGATTATGTGTGAATAATATGCTGCCTTTGAAAGGAATTTTGTATAGACAGAGATATGGCTAAGGCATATAGTTTAGTGGGGAAAAGTGGCAAAACAGAACAAATGTTGAATGATCCTACTTGTATGAGAAACCAGAGTAGTCCAATTCATAGAGACAGAAAGTTGAATGGTGGTTGCCAATGGCTTGGGAGTAGGGAGACTGGGCAGTTATTATTTAATGGGTGCAGAGTTTCAGTTTGGGAAGATGAAAAAGTTGTGGAGATGGGTGGTGGTGATTGTTGCACAACACTGTGAATGTACTCAGTGCCACTGAACTGTATGCCCCAAAATATCTTAAAAAGGTAAATTGTATGTTGTGTATATTTCATCACAATTTTTTAAAAAGGTGAGAAAAATAAAGCTGATTTTCCTCGGCGGAGAAAAGCAAAACAACACATACAGCCTGATCCTGTTTATGTAAAGAATAGAAAAGCGTATGGAAGAAAATCTGCAGGAGGAAGAGACCCCAAAC